TGGTCGTTAAGTGGTGTCATTTTTCTACTACTCCAGTGTTCCGATGAGTGAACGGAAAAGCCAAAACGATTGCTGGTTTCTGATTGCTTCGGTTCTGGTGAGTGTGTATCTAGTGTGATTCGAACCCATGTCGTTTGTATTGGGCGTTTTTTTATTTCACATGTTAGCTACGCCGTAATATGCAACCGCTTCCCCGTTTTATTGTGATTTTGAGTGTTTAATGGTGTCTTCCTCACCCGTCACGCCATGACCCAGTTTCAACCACACGGCCATTTTGCAACACAGTTCGTGACCCTCGGCGTCACCCGACTGACTATATGAGCGTTCTGTTCAACTGTTAAGCTAGGATTTATTACCGTTATTATCATTATATTGTCACGTGATTTGTTTTACCTTATGTGTAATGTCTTAAGTATCTTTATTGTAATTTGTATATACCAATTCGTATATACCGAGGAAACGACCCCGATTGAAGGTCATGTATTTTATGACGTCACCAAATCGTGTGTAGGTACTGCTTCTAGATCTGTGCCGTCACATTGTGTAGCTCCAATGCGTAAAATAGAAAATTTATATCTTGAATAAAACTGACAAACTTCCTTGCTGTTGCTGTCGGGTGTCTGCCTTATACATGGATTAAGTGTAGACACGGGGATTCAGCTTTCCTTTTCTCTGCTCATGGTGTCGCAATAGCGGTGAAGGTCAGTACTGGGTTGAACCGACAAGCCATGGCCACTATATTTTGAATGATCATAAATAATTTTTGAACCCAATAGTAGTGATCACTGTGATTATTATATAAATTTCTTGCAAAGTCTGGAACGATACTGAAAAAAAATCGTTCATTTCCTTCTATATTCATGCTTGAAAGTAGGCCGAAGTATCCGCAGGTGAATACGAGTATCCAGATAATAAGTTAGGATTGATCAGTTCACACAAATTGTTCTGTTCTGATTCATCATTGCAAAACAATGGCCTGGAAACGGCCCAGCTTGAGGGAAATAGTATCGTGGAAAGAAAGAACAGTATCGGACCCGATACCCTTAAAAGACCTGATGAGAACACTGCAGAATCGCGGGGGAAACGAAAGTTACGCGGCTATTGTCTAAGCGACGCAGGCCTGAGGAGAACACTGTACACGTAACCAGCACATTTACGAATCAAGATTGGCAGAAAGTTGTACGGCATCTGTCTTCGATTTTGTCTATTGATGATTATGACACACAAAGTGAAATTGAACTTACGTTCATGAAAATCGGAAAGGGTACTGCTTTTTCGTCAAACTGAAAAAATGGCCACGTCACTCTTGTAACTGCGCATGCATACTCCCCATACTCGCATACATTTGATGTTTTTAGTCGCTGTATCTGCTCAAATAACATCCATCATGATATAATAAATCATTATATACTAAAATTCGCAAATTTGCAGACCTTCCAATAATATATTACAAGGTTTTTTTTGCGACAGAATACGTTATTGCAATATGCAAATTAGGCTACTCACCCTAGTCAAATATTTGTTAAGAAACTTTAAAGACTCTAAGTTATAAATTAATTAATGCAATAATTGACTAATTAATATGCATGGAATTGCACCAAAATCTAATCAGCGCATCTACTCATTGTATATTAGCTGTGTGCCAAATTTCATTTGAATTGAAATTGTAGACCTTGAGTTATCAGTGGAACAAATTTTAGTCACAGAGCCAGACACCGGTACCACATAAGCTCCGTTTCACGGGAGCTAAAAATGGATTTACACATCATTTGCACATCATCCAATCACAAGCAAGTTAAATAGTGGACAAAACTGAAAAATTTGAATCAGAAACAAATTACACAGTGCGTAATGTAGTTGTAAAGTTC